ATATGCTCAGCACTTGGTATGGGCGCTAAGAGCTGCTTAGGTAGCAGGACAATCACCGATGCAGCCGCTGCCTGTTACACAAAATAGCAAAAGTAGCCATTCAGACTAGAAGTTTCCCCTTCAGGAATCCGTGGCTTAGGCCTCCATTTCCACCCACTCTACTGATCTCGATAGACATTCATGTTTTGCCGTATTCCTGCATATGCAGAGGCGAAAACCAGAGCCCATCATGATCGGCCTTTCAGGCGATCTGCTAAACAGTGATGTCGGGACATTATGAATGCAAAGTTAAGCTTGACGCCTGATTGCTGCATATACTAAATGCTAAATCTCTGATAGAGATCACCAACAGCCCCAAAATTTTCAACAAACCGTCGAAGCATATGCCGAATAGCGTTATAATAAATAATTTGGGGGCGCATTGTTGAAGGACTATATGCATTTCAAACGCCGGCACTCGGCAGTCGAAAGCCGAGATAAAATGGGTCGCACCTCGAAGAGGCGTAGTTTCTTTCGGATCATGTCGGTCTGTGACGCATAGCGAGAAAACAAACATCAGGGTGACAAAGAGTGATCCTTTGTCCTGTTGTGCTGGTGGAAGAAATCACCACAACTCCCATCAGATCACTTCCCACAAAATTTGCCAATTGCATTTCAAAAGCCTAGGCAAGGGCTTTGGAAGCCCCCCTAAACGAGCTGAAATTGTCTGGAGCAGCACCTGAAGAGGTTAAACGGGCGATATTTTCTTAGCAAGATCAGTCTTCAAACTCTTATGTGTTAAAGGAGTGAACTGTCCGATTGCGCGATGCCAGACAGTCAATTTGCAATTTGTTTTTTACCATCATTTCTTGAGATGCTGATATTGAATGAATAGCGTCGCACCAGTACCCAATTAAAATAAAAGCAGAAGTGTTAACCCTTGCTGTAAAAATCATGACTTCTAGGTGCATTCAATAAAGCAGTCTTGTAACTGACGTCAGGTAGTGTTACAGTTACGTTGCGACGCGGCTCTTGGTTGGTAGGATGGTGATTTACATGGAGACGGATTGGACGCGACGCGATTGGAGCCGTGGTTCAATTGGACTGCTTGGAACAGTCCAGCCGTTCTGTCCTAAATGTCCATTTCAGATCTCGCACGTTAGTTATGACGGAACTGATAAATAAACATGGACTGCATCAAAATCCTCTATTCTCTTCTTCAAAGGTCTCCCACTCAGCCGTGACCACAGAGCCAGCTGGACCATATAAAGTCGTCTACGTGTAGTCATCACCGGTGAAGCTCTGACCGTGCTGTCTGTGCACTGGACAGGTCCGACTGCTTCACATCCGAGTACTTCGGCGGCTGTCTGCAGGCTCTCATGAGAGCTGAAGAAACGGATAAGTTTGACTCGTACATCCGGCGAATCAGCGGAAGAAAGTGATTCCTCTCGCTGCAGGCAGGCGAACAAGATCAGAAGTTCGGGGATGGCACGCTAATGGAGGGTGCTTGAATGCTTATAATGATGCTTTAAAGGGTCGCAACAGTATCTGTGTGGCTGTTGCCCTATGTGCGGTCCCTCCATTTTTCTTGTTTAAGTGTCATGCATGCCTGTGAATTGTCGATCAACGCTGTATATTTCACCAGCACGCCAAAGATTTCTAAAAGGCTGCTCATTTCGTAGTTCTAGCCCAAGTGCGGTGCTGTCATGCATGGAGAAAATCAACGTGCTCCGAGCTATTGCGTGCCAACGACCTCATAAACTTTAGCTGA